TGAGATGCGCGAATATGTTGACACAGTCGCAATGAAAAACATGTTATAACTGTGAAAGTTGCCGGTGAACAAGCCTTTGACGGTGCAATGATAATGCCAACTGTGTTCAGATACTGAAGCGTTTTTGTTGTGGCCCACATTTCAAGCCGCGTAGAATTTTTTATACTTTTTTGCCATACTCCTCGAACATTTCCAAAGGTATGAGGCCAGAACAAAATCATAAATCTTTGTGCGCAATCTGTGTCTCAAACTCAAATTCGAGCTGCTTTTTTAATCCACAACTGAACGCCTAAATTTTTAGGCGTGATTTTGCTAACTAGTGAAAAGTGAATAAAAAAGTCACCTTCCAGATTCCTCTGCATTTTGTTTTGTGATCCGAGTGCAAACTGTTAAGCTGACTTCAAATTTCCATCAAAAAGGCATGAGAATTTCGATGTTTTATAATGTTACGTTGAGGCCACCCTCAGTGGGATGGCGCGTATTTATCGAAGAAACATTTATAGTGTCTGGAAGTATGCTGGATCGAAAGATCTGGTTTAGCTGCATATCGGAGGTGTGGGAGTATCTCAATAAAACCATCCACGGCATTGCCCAGCGGTCTTGTTGATATTATGCCGTGTTGTATTGGTAAATTGAATTACCTGAGCTTTCATACTAGATTTTGACGCAGTCAATGACGGCAAGAGCAAATTACACTTAATGCTAACTCCAAAAAACAATAGACAAGTTAAGATTCAAAAAAACTGAGTGATTTGGAGTGGATAAGTGAATCAAGCGATTATCGCAGCAAAGGGTTGTATGAATGCGCATTTGTTCGTTCAGACTTTATCACTCACTTTCAACTCGGTGACCGAAAAGCACAATATTTGGAGGCGGAAATTTCATGAGATGTGTCTTTGGCTGATGTAAGATCCCGTAAACGTAAAATCCACTTTCATGCACCTATGTCAAGAAAAGAATTTAAAAAAAGTTTTAGAGGGAATCAGACTGGTTAGACGTGTTTTTAATGCAAAACAATTGTTGCGTTTTTGTAAAGAAATTAATGTGCGGTAATTTCAAGAGATGTAAGGTTCGTTAAAAAAACGAATAGGTTTTGTAAGTAGCAGTAAACTTCAAAACTGTTTAATTATCTTCATCACGTAAAAACATGACTAACCTGGTCAAATACACTCTTTGCGCGTAAATTGTCCAGCCTTGCGTGAAGCCAACGTTCACACGCCATATGAGCATTTGGCTTATTGAAAGATAAAGTAGGAATAGCTATAACGGCTGATCTAGTTACTAGAAATAATTATGTATTTTTATATGGTACATCTGTCAGGATGCTTTCGTTTTGATTGGCATGTGATGCCGTATGCCAGCAGCAATTCCGGAAATCTCTTGGCAATGACAACGCAGTTTCTCCCACGTAGCTTCACACTCAAAAAACAAATAAAACTCATTGGCTGTGCATGCATGGATCACCGACACGGATTTTCTCGCCGAATGACGCAACAACCGCATTGAATGAGTTGCGCTTCAGTGCTCTCGCTACAAGTTTGTAATTAATAATCTGTACAACTAATCCGCTCTCGCCCTCATAATTTG